AGGAGAGAACCCACTGTTGTCACTTTATTAAAGCAGCACAGTTCCTAACTATATTCTGAAACTTGTGCTTATGCCCACAGCTAAGTGTAGTCCTCACCCCCCATCAGAGTAGTTTCTCTTTGCAAGTGGAAATATTATAGAAAATCACAAGTGGACTTAATGCAGATAATAAATTGTAGGGAGCCCAGCTCCCAAGGAAAAATCTTCAACAGAACTGCACACAAGGCTCAGAGAACAACGTGGGAGAGTGAGCTTAGGAGACTATAAAGACTAGAATATCTGTTGTGAGACCCTGTCTCCTAAAAGTGGCTACCAAAGGAAGCCTGAACAAGGGTAACTTTAATAGACATAGTAATGTAGGAGGGAAGATAAATCTCATGGAGTCACAGTACCCATAGATTAAAAAAACAAAAAAAACCCTCCTGTGGGTAGAGTGGGGAAGGGAGCCCACACCCCCCCACCCCCACCCACACACACACCCACGCACACACCCCCAGGTGGGGTGGTGAGAATTAGCCTCTCTCTGGGACCAGCCTGCTAATTGGTTATCCAATACAAAGTGGTCAGCCCTGAAACCATACACACACAAACAAGAATGAACTTAGCAGGTTGTATTTATATGTGTGCACCTATGTATTTATGAGACAATAATAAAGAAAAAGAGACCATGAATTTTGGGGATGGGCAGACATAGGAAAGGTTGGAGAAAAGGGAAAGAGGAAATGATTAAACTCTATTTTAATAAAAATGTTAAAAATAAGAATTTTACAGAGAGTAACTCATAGAAAATTTTGTCTGAAAATGAATTTTAACTTTGAAGATTAGTCACTATTTTGGTATTATGACATCCAGCATATTAAATAACTGTCACCCATACTGTCTGAGGATCAACAGTGCTTCCTAGGTTGCAAAGATCTATCCCCACAGAATCTGACATTTCTGGGCTGACTTCAGCAGAGCTCTTTCGCCTATAATTCCATTTCTACTGTTCATTAGTTGATCTCATTCATGTAAAAAAATTCATTCACTACAACATTCCAAAAAAAAAATAGAAAAAAAATAGAACACAACATAGAAATACAAAATTGCTTGTAAATTTTCCAATAAATAGTCCATTTCCTTTCTTAGGTGACTGTATTACTTAGACTACAAGACAGTAAGTTTTGTAGGTGCCAATTTAAATAATAGCAGTTAAATTTCAGGTTTTTATAACCTAGGTATTACAGGCAGAACTGTTATCGAACTGTCATCGATGTAAATTTTCATCCACATTACATGGAATCTGTAGAGCAGGCTGAAGGCAATCCATTGACTTACATCTGAAATTGGCAGAAAATCAAAGCCAGAAACTGAAAAAGATGGCAATCTTGTAAAAGTAAGAGCAAGACCTCATAGTTCAAGTAAAGTCAGGGCCTTCTTCAAGATGGGAAAGCATGTTGTACCTGGCAGAACTCCATCTGCATGGAATTTATTAGACCAGAGCCCCAGAAGCTGCATTCACACTCATGGGTGGATGCATATGTCCTCTAGACTTAACTTGCCCAAAGCAAAGCCAGAGAGTTTTTAAGTAGGTACACATCTAAGACACAAGTAACTCCTGTTAAGAGTTGGCCCAAGAACTTTACCAAGCCTTCCTCAGGCTTTAGATGCAGGCAGAAACACTCACCAACCTTTTCCCTTCTTTATTTGGGGGCTGACTTTATAGTCACACTAACAGATTTCATAGCCTCTCCTGGCTCCCTCTTATTTCTTTTATAGGTATCCTTTATTAAAATCCTTAAACATTTAATTTTATCTTGGCATCTGCTTTTTAAAGATCACAGATTAACCCATAAATATAGTATGATTCATTCCAAATGTATGAAGTTTTGTTAAATTCTAGATTAGAAAATGACTGTGGATACAGGAAGGTACTCTTGGTTTTGTCTTTTATAGTTAAGACTCAACATCAGAACTACCTCTAGAGGATAATATACCCAAGTAGAAGTCACTCACTATGCAGTCAGCTCCTTTGACAGGACTGTAAATTCCTCTAATTCAACACAAATGTACTGACCTCTTGGAACTGAAAACTGAATGAGCACCATAAAAATGCAGATTAGTGCCCAATGTATCAACAACCAAATGCCATTGTTCTTATTACCAATTAGTTTGGCACTGGGGAAAAGTTTGGCAAGAGATCTAAGACAGAAAATATACATCTAACTAAAAAACAAAACAAAAACCCAGAAAAAGATTGGCTAGAGAATTGACCAAACCTGTTCATTTAGCTAATAAGATTCCATCATTTGCTTCAAGTTTTGCTATTTTTAAGATGTTACTAATCATACTTTGTATTTCTAGTGCCTGATGTATCACTCTTAATATTTCAGTGAATTAACATTACTCCACTTTGTTCAAAAAAAAAAAAAAAAAAGCTACTTTTCACTACTCTGGGAATTTAGTTTTAACATTTGGTTCCCCAATAGTAATAACAGAAATACATCTAAATTTTGCCAAGTGTTTTTTAATTATGTGACAGTGATTGCTACAGGAATTACCAGGCTCTTATATAAAAGCCTAACAGAGATGTCAGAGATGAAGATGAAGAGATGATACCGTTGTGCAAAGCCAGTTTGTTTAGTCCAGCAATCTTACCTTCTGAGCACCTGCTGCACTTTGCAGCGGTTTGGTTTCTAAACTCTTTTTGTAGACAGCATCCTTTGTCATGTATGGTCACTAAGTTCTCTTTCTCATTAGTCTATTAATTCAATGAGCAGCTACTAAGTTCACTGAGATTTCTTTGAATCTTTGGAGCCTAAATAAAATTACCAAAGCCCAGCTCTTCACTGTGTGCTCTGGTTATGGTGCATCACTACCTCAGTGCTTACGCAGGGAGTTAACAACTCTATTCCACCCTCAGCCACCACTTCCTGCTTGTGTGGAAACTAGAGGTGAAAACTTAGGGTCTTTTCTGAACATACATTTATCCCTGGTCATGCACAGGAGCTCTAAAATACATGGGAGCTTTTCAAAGTTTTTATTCACTTATGCAGGTTTTGTTTTTCCCATAATTTGGCCTTTGTGCTAGAGCTGCTGTAGCTAATGATCTGCTTTTGAATGCATCATAGCTGGAGGAGCAATTCAGTGTTGAGGAAGTTCTAAGCAGGAAAAAAAAAAAAAATCAATGTAGGCTCCTGAGCTACTATTAGGTCAAAACACAGGTCTTTGAGAACATCTATAAAGCATTCTCTAGTACAAAGAATGCAGGCTACATGTTCATGGCAGGGAGCTGGGAATGGAGGGCAGATGAATTAAAATACTCTGACTTTCTAGGAATTAAGCAGCTTCTTCCGGGTGATTAATTTTACTTTCCTCTAGATCCTAAATTTGGAAAAACTTCAGATGTTTTACATTAAAACTATCTTTCTGATTAGAAAATGACATACTTCATTTTTTTTCTCCCATCAATAGCAAACAACAATTTATAGCAATCAATCAAAATTTATTACAACACAGCACAACAAAACTTCAGATTCAGTAAATGTCATACTCCAGTTTGGCTATGACAAAAAAATTTGCTTGGTGGTCTACATCAAATGGTAAATTTAAGATCAAGATACAAAAGTCAAGATTTAGATGAAACTAAGAAAGGGACTGAATTAGACTTTAAAAGATTGAATCCAGTATTTTTTGTTTTTGTTTTCTTCAAGACAGAGTTTCTTTGTGTAGCTTTGAGCCTGTTCTGGAACTCACTCTGTAGACCAGGCTGGCCTTAAACCTGTCTCTGGCTCCTGAGTATTAGGATTAAGAGCCTGAATCCAATCTTTTACAATGAAGATCAGACACGAAACAGCCTTGCCAGGTTACTCACTCCTTAACTGTCTGGCAAGTCAAAATTTCATTTTTCCAATGTGAAAACCAGGGCTTCCATATTTCATCATGCTTAGCATATCTTATTGGCCTAAGATATTAAGAAACGGGATCTTTCTTAAAACCCTTTTCCTTAAATAGTAATTAACATATGGTAAATGTGTTAAAACCAGAACTACAAGGTCCCTTAATTAAGCTTAGTCAGGGGGCTCTGTGACCTTTAACCTTACTGTACTTAAAACACCAGGGAGACCTAGATTATAAAAATTGATGTTACAACAAGAGAAGTCAGTTCAGAGTGATGGTTTGGAACTAATTTTTCTTGGCTGTTTTTTCTAAGTATTTATTAAGTGCATCAGCATAATTTAAAAGAAAATGTACCTGAAAATCATTACTTGTTTCAACTTAGAAATTTATTTACACAGAATTATTTAAATGCAACTTCTTGGGAATAATGATAAATAGTAACACAGACTACCACCATGTTTAATCTTAACTTTAAAGTCTTACATATAGTTCCACATAATATTCATCCTAAAATTGGAGATTCTAAGAGTTCTTAAATATGTATGTCAACCTAAACATCTGTAGGAAGAGCAAAAAATAGCAGTTTTTTTTTTTTCCTTTTTTTAATTGTTGCTTTGAGACAGGGTCTCTTGTAACCCAGGCTGGCTTTGAAGTCTTAATCCTCTCAGATTAAAACATATACCACCAAGCCAAGCTGTAAAACATCATGCTTACAGATCTATACAAATGCCTTTACAAAACTTCAGCTTTACGTAAATGTTTATGCAAAATGTTCCCTTGACATGTAGCTTTCATAAAAATATGGCAATTATCATCACTAATAACTTCGATACAACAAGCCAATAAAACTGTTTTAAGTTGACACACAGAAAGGTAAAGGAGTCTTTATTTTTAACCTTTAGTTACTCTGGAATTACATTAGGTGTTTGAAATCTTTGATAACGATTTTAACATTTCACACACAGAAAAGTGAAACCTCTAACGATCTAGAATTTACATAATGGCTTCTATATCACAATCGCTTTGGTAAGTTGCCTACTGAGTATGTACCAATTGCTTTTTGTTGTCCAAAACTAACCAAAACAAACAAAAAAGCAAAGAAATCATGAGGCTATACAAAATGGCTTAGAAAAACAAGTTTTCTATTTATTTAAAAATAAGTTTATAGTTACTACATTGCAGGGACAGGAATTCTTACACATACATTCTAGTTTGTATAAAAGGATTCCAAGAATTATGCATCAAAACTAACATAGAAAGTGTCCACTTAACAGTAAAGAAAGGTCCAATCAATATGTACAAAAAGAAAGGGCCTGCTACCTCGGTGCAAGACTGCCGTTTATGACATGATACTCCAGGTCTAGAAGAAATAAAACAAAACATCAATAAAGCTAAATAATTTTTAAAAAACTCTGTCACTTATTACATACAACAGATTTGCTTGTGTTTAACATTGCTTTCTGTACAAAATAAACATAATTTTAATTTGAAATGTGTCAGTTACAACTTTAACCCTTTAGGTCAGTTGCCTTTTAAAAACTGAGCTATGTTCTACACATGTCTAAACATCCCGTGGCGGGATTTAGCAGTTTTCTTAATAACGTTTTAAGACCTGTCTCTTCTTGCAGTTTCAATATGGTCTAAAAATGTAACATTGTATCTTATTTTTTAATTTATTGTTGTGATAAATCAACACCCACATCCTTGAAAGTAATCAGTTTGTGTGTGCATTTGCCTTGTAAGTGCATGTACTATAATACAATCCTGAACCTATTTTCTTAGCTCTTTAAATGTAGAAACTCATCCATATACTACTATGTATTTGGTTTGTGCCATATAAGGTTAATTTCCTGATATTTTTATCTGCATTAAAAAAGTACTTCAAAACAGAGCTATTAAAACTAAAAAAAATCTATTTATAGCTGGGATAGTCTACTCACTGTAATGTGTGCAGGTTCACCTCCAGAGCGCTCACAGTGGTACTTACAGTCTTGTGACTCATCTGACCTCTTCCTGGGGTACTGTACATAGTTCAAAATGACATTTCATTTGGAGCACTTGGATAAGTAATTAAAAGCAAAACAGTTTCTTAGTAAATGCATTAATTTTAGTTCAAGTCATCTAGAAATCAGGGGAACTGGGGAAAGTCTGATTTTTTTTTTTTGATTGAAACAAAAGGTGTACTTTCCCCAATTTTAATGTAAGACAATTTATCACTGAATCAAGCTACTATTGTCAGCAAGATTGTCGAGATAAATTGGGACTAATGTATTTTAGGCAAAAGTAATCCCCCAACCAGGTTCTCACTTTTAAAATACTATATTTCCTGTGTATAGGATGAACACTGATAATAGCCCTTTAATCATTACTCAAGTACCTTGGTCCTTTCAACCTATGCAAAAATAAATTTCAGGTGAACAAAATATTAAAAATCAGTTTGTTTTCTTTAGATAGAAAGCTTAAAACCAGTTCCTTTCAACTTAACATTTAAGACAAATTTATAGATACCTACGGATGTATAAAATGGAATGTCGAAATTAAACACTGACAACTGAGATTAATCATGCAAATGTGCTAACATCACACAATGACCAAAATTTTATTTCAGTACACTTGTGAAGGTATCTGGTTAATCTACAATGCTGCAGCTAAGAGAAGGTTCTGTTAACAATTCTGTGTAAGGGAATGTTTGCTGTCCACGATCTTACATAATTAATATCCAAGTTAAACTGAATCCAGTCAATCACTTATCTCTGCCTGATGTGGCCTAATCACACAACAAATGCTCCACAGTTATCCTAAATGTAATAAGACACCGTAGAAACCCACAAGTCTTTAGAGCTGCAGTGAGGCGAGGCAATGCAATAAATACAATGACAGTAAGACCCTTACTCTTCAGGTTACACTTGTATGTAGGAAGACGGACTGCTCCAAACAAAGCTGTGAAAGGTGAAATTTTAAGAACCTACATATCTACTTCCAAAGGCTGGTAGACTGTAATTAGATGGAGTCTTTAAACTACCCTATGACGCCGGGCGTTGGTGGTGCATGCCTTTAATCCCAGCACTCGGAGGTAGAGGCAGATGGATCTCTGTGAGTTCGAGGCCAGCCTGGTCTGCAGAGCGAGTGCCAGGATAGGCTCCAAAGCTACACAGAGAAACCCTGTCTCGAAAAACCAAAACCAAACCAAACCAAACCAAAAAAATCCTACCCTATGACAACATACTAAACACAGGTTTTGTGAAGTCAGGATAGCATAAAAGAACAATATGGTTAAATATTAGAGAAATAATATAAACTGATTTTGGGGGTGGTGCTGCTATTGTAGCCCTAGTCTTGAAGTTGGTTTGCAGCTAAAGGTAACTTTGAACTCTGATGTTCATGCCTCCACCTCCCAAAGGCTGGGATTACAAGCATGCACCACTAGATTTTTCAGCCTGAAAACTGATTTTTATATTCCATGCACATAAAAAAATTTATTTCTGAAAGGTTTAGTAAACTTGATATTTTTCTTATTGCTTACCTAAGACAAGTGCCAACAATTCCTTCTGGTCTATAAACAGTACATACATGATGTTACTGCCTTCAAAGAGGAGACTTTTCCAAGTGGTAAAACCCAAAACATGATGACTTAAATTTCTTAATTCAATTTTTTGCAAACTACAGAAACTAAATTATAAAAATATAAAATCTGTATCTGGTATTAATATATCTTAAGTGTTTCAGTTACAAATAATCTGATCCAAGTCTTTTTGCTTTACTAAGAAACCAGTGTCTGAGAAAATGTCCAAACATGGTCATAAATATACAGTGTCTTTAAAATAGAAATAATGTATTTCCTTTTACAGGAAATATGGAAATACTTATTTCACTGCTCAGAAGTTGGAACTATCTGTGCACCACTCCAGAGGTCCTCCACACTAAGACTGTGTGCGCTTCTTTTTACTGAACACACCTTACAACTACTTTTTTCTTTATAAAAATGGACTTTAGTCTATTTTTCTAATACAATGCAGATAACATCAGGAAATTACATTTTTCAAATAGATTCCCTTCAAAAGCAACTAATTAATGACTTAAATTTCCAACATACACACTATCATTTTCAATAATGGTGAAATTGACTCATTTTTTTCTAAATAACACATCATCCATTTCTGCATTATGAAGATTTCACTACTTAACTTTAATTATATAGTCCAATATATTTGTTAGAAAAAAATAAATGTACAAAAAAAACCTAAGAAATTTGAAATTATTTTTCCACTGTAAAATCACAGCAATCCAGTCAAGATCTGGAAAATGGTTCACTTAGTTTCACTGGAGGGTTTCTGTACAAATTTCGTTACAAATGATCTAAAAAGCCCAAATGCATCACTTTTCATTCTTCTTCAAGACAGTTAAATGACAGTTAACATTTGTCCTTATCAGAAACAAGGAACTAATAATATAATCTAATTATATATTTTGCCAAGGTTCAATTAAAGACTGTATTCTCTACGTCAGGGTCATTCATGCCGATATATATCTTCCCCATCCTTCCTTTTTAAAAATGTAGTATCTGAAAATTTTGGTTACATTTTTGTACCATATCAGTCCTCAGAAAATACTACATTCTTAAAACTTAAAAAAAAAAGTAATTTTAAACAATAGAAATGGCATTTATGTTGGTTTTCAAGGTATAAAATAACTAATGTACCATAAACAAATAAATAACTGCTTTCCTTTTCCATAGCAGTACATATAGTAATACATTCTCCTAAGTCATATAGTTATCATTTATAATAGACAACTTAATTTTACTAATGATGCAAAAAATAATAGAATACAAGGCACAATCATTAAATGGGTGTTTTCTTTAGAGCGTATATTGAAATACCAGCGTGATAAGGATACCATAAAAAGTGCAGAAAAAACACAATGTGCAATGAGACCACTGTATAAAACATGATTGCATAAAAAGTGATTTGGCCTATTTTTAACTTTTAATAGTTGAAAATAACCAATCTTTTCCTTAAAATTAAACTATAAAGTATGACATTTTAAAATTATTTTTATTCTACTACTATCTAAAAAATCCAGAAAAAAAGAATTTATACCTGGGTAATAGTACTTAAGTATGCGTTTGTATATATATTCAATCACACCCATTTATCAATATACACACGCACACAGACATGGTTCTTTGCAAGTCATTTTAGCCTATTGGATATGTCTGAAATTTAAAAATGACATTTATCCAGAACAAGTAAACATCAAATCCCATACGTTTTTCCTGTATTTTCCTTGAATCCTTTAACCACTTAAACATTTTCTCTAAGATATCTCTGTCAAAGGACCCACCAGTGCATTATTTTCCTACTATTAGTACCAAAAAAAAAGATACAACTCAGCATAATTCTGAAATAACTTGCTCTTTAGAATATATAGCTTTTCCAGTATTGAAAAGTGTATGCTGTCCTGACAGTCAACAGCAGGCTTTCCACTGCACTGATTCTCAGTCTTTGGCACAATAAACAGAGATAGAGTGACTGATAGAAGAATCAAGGTCTGAAAAATTAGACAGTCAAATGTTTTCCAATGTGGATATGTTTCCTTTGTATCATTACATTTTCTCCTAAGTTTGGCAGAGATGGAGTAAAACAAAAGCTTCCTCTAGATATTCTGCAGTTGAACACCCTACAACTAACACTTTTCAGGATACCAAATGGTGGGAACTTTAAAGTCATCTTTAGAGGAAACGTTTCTTAATGTACTGCTACTCTGGGTAACATCTTTCTTCCGAAGGGCATGACTTCTGTATCAGTAAAAAGGTACCTTACTTGGTGAAAAAATAATTCAATTTACCAGGAAACTTTCTATCACTAGGAATACTATGTTTCTTTAGAGTGTAGCAGAGCTGTCTCTTCCATAAATAAATCAGGAATTTCTAACAGGTCCTCAATTTCAAACAGTGAAATGAACGTGGAAATGAATAAACTACCTAAGGGCAATAAATAGCAAACATTTGAAATATATATGTATATAGATTTTTTTTTCAAAGACGTAAATTATTTTCTAAATTTGTTTTTTTGTTTTGTTTTGTTTTGTTTTGCCTCCTTTTTTCCTAAGTCAAATTGTAACATTCCCTAATCCATCATAGCAGCCAGGAAGCAGAAACCTTAGTTCTACTTACTCCTTAACTGTACCTGTTTCATAGATTTTGAAGTACAATATTTTGCTTCAAGTTACCAACCAATTAAATTAGCCTTTGCTTTTTCAGTCAACTTTCGGACCCGTCCTCTACTAGAAGTCCCAAAAGTCAAAGAGGTGTCTTCAAATAACAGCTGCCTCTGCTCTTCTTCTGAGTCATCCTCATTATAGAAAGCTGTCCTTCGACCTTGGTTTCTAGTTCTCATGTGAGGTTCAGAGCCTTTGAGTTCTTCAAACTCTTCTTCCTCATCTATAGGACCATCTGTTTTTTTCCGGTTACTTCTCCTTAACACTTTAACATTAGTAGGGACTATGAGTTCTGAATCTAGGTTTTGTGTTTTCATCTTCCTTTTGGGCTTTCTGCCTCCACGACTCTTTTTCTGTAACAAATCCTCCTTAACAGCATTAGTGTTAGAAAGAAAGTTGCATGTTGAAGAAGGAACCACATCAGCCCTGATTGGAGGCATGTTATTTTGCTCAGAGTTTTCTTGCTTTGCACACTGCAGTTTCTTGGGCTTTCTACCTCTTTTCTTGTGTATAACTTCACCACTGCTGGTGTTAGCTTCTGCCTTAGGCTTCCTCCCAGGCCCTCTCTTCACAAGTTTTGATGGCTGTCCTCCATGGCCATTTACTTGAATGGTTCCTGCTATAAGAACATTGTTCTTACAATCTCCTGAAAGGAAAAAACAGTATGTTTAATGTGTTGTTTAGCCCGCCAACTAATGGGTAAGAACCCTAGAATACGTCTATGTAATGATATAATAATAAACAATAATAAAAAACTCCTACTAAAATAAGAGAATTGATAAATTTCTGCAGCTATTACCTAGTCTTTTTATTTTTAAAAATTTATTTATTGTGTGTACATTTGAATGATGATGATGATGATGTCTATGTGTGAGTGTCACATGAGTCACCATGCATCTGTGGAAGTGGAGGGCAACTTTTGGGAGGGAGTTCTCTCCTATTCTCACAGACTTGCGGGGTAAACCTGCTGGCCCATTTTATTGACCCCCGGGAAAAGACTCTCAAGACAAAAAGAAAGACTTAAGCACAAAGTTAATGTCGTCACTGACAGCAAAGAGTAGAAATGCCATGTCTACCTCCTACCTCCTTTATTACACATTCTAATGTGTTAAAGAGTTTTTTGTTTGAATCGAATGAAATGATCATATTTATTTGCAGTTTATCACAACAAAGTCTTTTACTGTTAAACCTACTAAACACAGGGTGTTTTTATAGTATCACTTTTAAGAAATCATGGAAAAATATTCTTAGCATAACAATTTTATGGCTTTTTAATCTGGTCCTTCCAATAAATAAGCATGTTAACTGTTACTCACTTACTTTCAGTCATCTGACCAGTGAGAAGATTATTCAGACAATAAAGACTGGGAAATTTCTAGCTTTTATTTCATCTCCTATGACTGTGACCACAGTAACTTCTCTATCAGAAATGAGTCTCGAGTCTGAAGATCTCCTTATGTTCCCTAGTCACAGAGTGAATCTTCCTTCTTAATTTCCATACCCAAGATAATTAGGAGTATATCTGCTGCAGTAATTTTTATCAGTTAATCTCCACAAAAACTGCCATGGCTTTGACATTCCTCACCTACTCTCATCTGCAAATGTATAAGTAAGTTATTCTTGGTTACTTGTTTAAAGAGGATGAAGCAACAAGAACAACTGAAGGCTGGAAAGGTGATTAGTTAAGTTTGGGTCACCAGAAACCACCAAAAAGCCAAGCATTGTGATATACATATGTAAGTTCAATCGCTGGGGGAATAGAGCCCAGGGGACCATAGAGCTCAATGGCCAACCAACCAAGCCAACTGGGGAAATCTAGGCGCAGAGGTTTTGCCTCAAACTATAAGGCAAGTGATCGAGAAAGATATGTAACATCAACTGCTGGCCTCCATATGCATACACATGTGTGCACACCTACATACAAAGCCATATTCACCATAAAAAAAATTGAATAGGAGTTTTTTTCCTTTTTACATGCTACTCAAATAGTCTCTCTTCATGTAACTGAATGGCAAATGATAATTTGTAATCATATAATATTGACACTGTATCAATTCTGTAAAGTGGACCACTATTATCTTGGTTAAAAATCTTACTTTTAACTAATTCCATGCTAAAAAGTTAAGAAATTCAACAAGTTGGAACAGGGAGTGAAAAGGAAAAACACCAAAAGCCCTGCAAGCCTCCCATAAATGATTTTCTTTAGATCAGCTGTTTTACAACTGGGAGGTGAAGGCGTGGTAGATAAATGTGGAAACAAAGAATTTTCTACAGCACAAACTGCCTGAGGCTTGTGTGCTTTCTTTGCTTTACATGAAAACATACTAATTAGGCACTAAACTAAAAGGCACAAGCAGAGGAACTAGATCACTCAAAAGATGTGAATTACACATTTTTCTTCTTTTTTTTTTTTTTTTTTTTTTTGAGGTACTGTGAAAAGATCTGACACGCAAATTATGGACATAGAAAAAACAAGGGAATACTATGCTAGATTTCCCAGGAAAATCAGAGGAAAATTTATCAAACAGAGTAAGAGATAGCTTATTCGGGTACAGAGGTGTAACTGAACACCAAATACAAAGGAACAAAAAAATCAAGCCAAACCAAAAAAAAACCCAAAACAAAAACCCCACCCCAAAACACATACTGTCAGAACACTAAAACCACAGAATAACGAAAGGGTACTTAGATAAAGGTCAAGTCACTTACGAAAGCAGGTCCATCAAAATAAAACCTAATTATTCAACTAAGATGTTTAAAATCAGAAGGCCTTAGAAAGATGTATTCCAAGTTCTGAAAAAAATCTATTATTGGAAAGAGAAATCAAAACTTCCCAGGACAAAAACGCTAAAGGAATTTAATAACACTGGGTCAGCATAATAGAAAGAATACATAGAAATGAAGAGAAAGATTTTAAACACACTCAAGGAGCCGGAGAAGGTCCAAGAAAACACAATCCCCATACAATCAAACCTAAAAACAAAACACCAAAAACCCCAACCAACCAACCAAACACTACAATGAAATGCTAAGAACACAGACATAACTTTGAATAATAACTCTGAATATCAATAGCCTCAATTTCCCAACAAAAGGCACAGACTAGCAGATTGGCTAGAAATGGGTTCTATTTTAGGATAAAAGAACAGGAAAAGGTGTTCAAGTCAAACAGAATTGAGAAATAATACTTGTTATTCTAGTTATCTCACAAAATGGAGCTCAAATCAAAACTAGTTAGACAATGCACAAACACAAGTCACATGAAGGGGGGGTAGGGGAATACACAGAGTTGTAAGTGTGAGTAGAGATAGGAGGACTGAGGAGAGGTTGGGGGCAGGTTAATCCAAACTAAGGATAAATGAAAAAAGCATTATGGAAATCTACTATTTTGAAAGCTAATTTTAAAATCTTATTTTTAAAAAGATTTGAATAGAACAACCTTGAATGGGTGGCTACTGCTGCTCCCAGAAGATGTGGGCTATTAAATAAAAATCTCAGTGTCTGGCTCAGGACATATCTCTCTGAGTTACTGGTAAGGGAGCTCCCAGAAGCATCCAAAACAACACAAGCTATTTCCATTGATCTTAACTGCTCACCACAATTACATAGGAAAACCCTACTGATGCAGCCATTCCTCACTTTGGGTACTGAAAATAAATCTCAATTGATCCCTAAACTCTCTCCTTGCTGACTACTGGTACACAAGGCCTGAAGATGCTATATAGGTTGCGGAGGAGAAAAGACAACAATGGTTTGTTGTTGGAGCCTCTATGTGTAATACCAAGTTGCCAGGCAACATGACCCCACTGGTGCAATAATTCTATGTTGTTTAAGAGGTGACCAACCATTTCTACCTGGCTATGAGGCCTGTTCCAAAGGCAGAATTTCATGCTTGCTACTATAAACCTTGGTCTGAAAGCCCATGACTTAGGAGGGTGAACAGGTGAACAGGTTTTTGTTTTGTTGTTTTTAAGTGGTCATATTGTCAAATGGGCTTCTATTAAATATTTTAAGTTTATACCAATAGATTTGTGTTGCTATAAACTTTGGTTGGAGAAGCTGCTTTCTTCAGTGGGCAGTGCTTAATGCTGAGACTCATGTCTAGTCAAAGTGCAGAGTATAAGTGAGTGTTCAGCTATGAAAGGGAGAAGAATGGTGAAATGCTGACTAATAGACATAACATGGCCGTTGTATACATCAACTCATAACAGCTGTGGTTAGCAGCATAAGACAAAGCCAGTCAAAATTTCAGGATGAATAGGGTAAGGGCCCCTGAGGCTCCATGCTTAGCAGAATAGCTCCTGGAAGTTAAGGACTGATAGGGCAAGATCAATCACTTCCTTTAAGGATATGGCTGCTGGTATATTGTCCATGTCTTAGTAAGTGGCCCCCAAAACATGAATAATGATAGTATTAACTGGAGTTGGGGTATTAGAGGAGAATATGGAGTTTGGAGTGAAACAGGGAGAGCAATAGTGGGAGTTCATAAGGGAAGTAAGGGCTATGATCAAAATACTTTAATAAACATGAAATTTTCAGAAATAAAAAAATTAAGAATGCAAAATTGGCACTATCAAAGTCATTTGCTTATTAAAACACGTACACCATATGGCAAGTATAGGTGACTGTCTTTCAAAAGATCTAGTGTTTGATTCCCAAGGCCTACAATGTTGTTCACAACTATTTCTAACTCCAGTTCCATGAGGCTACTCCTTCTTCTAGCCTTCATGGCCACTGCATGCATGTGTTCCAGACATACATGTAGGCAAAACACCCATACATATAAAATGGAAAAAAAAAAGTTTAAGGATTCCTGGAGATTATATTGCATGAGTTAAAAGATAATAACAAATTGGGGGGGGAACCACAGAGCGAAAGATTTTGAGAGAGAGAGAGAGAGAGAGAGAGAGAGAGAGAGAGAGAGACCATTCAAAGAAGGAGGAAGAAGGATAGAGAGACAGGTGGAAAGGGTAGACTAAGGCAGACTAAAGAAGTGAGAGTGTGAAAGGAAGGAGAGGGTAAGGACTGAGTGAAATGGAGGAACAGTTAGGGAATTAAATTAACACAAGGCTTGAATTGTATCCATGGAAGAGAGAATTTTTCAAGAGATGTTACAGACAAACACATGGAATATAAAAAAACTAAAGTGAAGAGATGTGAATGCTAGGCTGACACCCAAATTTTAAGTCTTTGTAAGTGGGTAGAATATGTTTTTAAAACAAAAGAAAGCCATTAGCCAAGAAAATGAGTGAAGTTTCTGGTGAGAATATTAAGGAAAAAATGTCTAAGGCACATTTTTTGGAAGTTATGATACAAAATGCTCATTAGTGAGCTATCCTGGTAATGTGGTAATGAAGTATTCTTTTAACAAGCTTTATAGTATATTTTATTAGTTGCTTTCTCCCATCTTCCAAACATAAAGCCTTTCCAACAACAACAAATCAACCCTGCACTTGAAAGTCTTCAGAATCCAAAGTGTAAGTTTTTTGATCTATGGTCTATTAGCAGTTTATATTTTTGTTCTAAGATCCAATTTGGAGGATGTCTTTCTTTAGGTTTTTAACAATAAAGCTAGAAACAAGTTTACAACATTCAAAGTCTTTAATTCTAGAATACATTTTTTACTTCCATATAATGTTTTTTATCTTTAATTTTTAACAACAATGTTTTGCTTTTGATATAATGCTGCACGTTACTAGATTTATCAGACTGCACACTGTAACTTTTAAACTGACACCCCAGAAAGCAAAAATAAAGGCCAATCCCTATAAAGACATTAATTGTTAAGAAGGACCTACCATATACAAGTAACATTTGTCTTTTTTACTCTTTTGGAGGCAGGGTACTCATTATATTGGTTAGGCCTCACATCTGCGATCTTTCTGTCTTAGCCTCTCCACTGAACAGCGGTGTAGTGTACCACCACACCCAGATACAAGCAACATTTTACCTTGATCAACCACAGCTGATGACTTTGGAAGAGTGGAAGCTTTTGAGAGTACAGAAGACTTCATTTTACGTTTGACAGGCTTTTCCTTTTCCATGTTTTCTTTTGCAGAGTTATTCCTTGTACCATGGCCAAATGTGGGTTGATCAGGGCTTGAAAGTGTACTCAAGGCTTTGGAATGTTTCACAGAATTCTCTAGCACTAAAACACATATATAAAAAGATTAGAAGCTAAGACTTGGTGAACTCAAACATAAGCAACAGCTCTGGGCTTGCTTCAAACCTCAACTGCTTCAATTAGCCAAGAGGACAAAAAATTGAATGATACTTAAATCTTCACAGTATCTTTCTTTCCTGTTGTGCTGGGATATAACCCATGGCCCTGTGCATACTAGAGAAGCCTAGTAATCTACCTTCTAGTAAGAAACAGCTTACAAGAAAATTTTAACAAGTGCAGCCCAACTTCTAGAAGCTTTCTCCTCAGTTTAAGATTATGAGGCAAGTCCTGCAAACTGTTAACAAGTCTAGGGTTTATATTTGGGCAGTCAGTCTCTATCAGTTTGCTTTTGTTTTGTCCTACAAAAATATCCCTAAACCTCAATTTTCTTTTTCTCACTTAACTGATTTTTCAAAAAGAGGAAAAACAACAAAGAAAACAACATCAGCAGCTTCAGGTAATCACTAAAGCCCACAGAAAATCAAAAGCTTTTTAAAGAAAGAAAAATCACACCTTGTTGTAGAAATTGTGATTAAGTCTTACTTGTTTTCCCCGGCATGGCAGATGTACTAGTTTTTGAAATAAAAGCTTTTGTGGCTGATGAAGTGGACGGCTGCTCAGTGATAACTGGATCTACAGCCACACGGTTGCTCCTGGTTCGAACCACAGAATTGGATTCTGGTTTACCATTTATCTGAGCAGCATTATGCCTTGGCAGTACTGATCGTGTAGGTATAGAGAATGGAGAGGTAGATATTTCTGACTTCAGCTGGGGTTTTAAGATCTTTTTTTTCCTTTCAGGGCTGCAGATAAGATTAGACCACATTGTTAGTCACTCTTAACAATTCTCCACATATATGTTAAGAGTTTTATAACATTGTTGAATTCAACATTTGTACTATCATGAAATATGTTAAAATATGAGATTTGTAGTGGATTTCATATGGTTGTGAGCCTTTGAAAAGTGAAAATTTAGTGAAGGATCATCATAAATGCTACAGTTATATGACAGAAAGCATGATGCCATCACTATCCTAGAAATGCTGTTTTACTGTATAGATTTAGCAGTTTGAATTTAAGCACTTACACTAGTAAAGCTTTAGTTTAAAAGATTAAAAATCCTCCACATCATAGGAACTTGCATGTCAAATATATCATTCTGCAATATAGGGAATAGTAAAGGAAGCATTAAAAACCACCAAGTTCTGCCATTTTGGATGACAAAGTCACAGATTAGATAACGTCATCTAAAAACACTAGGTACCTTGATGCAGCACTGCTGGAGAGGGAGCTGCTTCTATTTCGTTTCTTCCTCCTTTTGGTTATGGTATTTCTTTTATGAAAACGAAGAGCAGACTTATAATCAGACAAAACTGAACTAATGTGTTCTTCAAAGAAAGCAGACAGACGTAAACTCATACTGTAAATCTATGGAGAGAAAAACAATCCATAAACATTCTTTTAAAAGAAAATGTCTATTTAGTAAATACTATAAGTTAAATATTTTTCTGGTAAAATTTTCTAGAATTTAAATATTGCTGTTTGTATTTAATTTTTTCTAGTCTCTTCTGATGCAAAGTAAATTAAAACAATTTTATAATTAAATTATTTTGAATTTAGACATTTGAGATATTTAACAAAAAAAGACTCTTGAGTTGGGAAAGAGGCAAAATTGTAAATTCTATCATACTTAAACTATCTCAAAGGGTTGGAAACTCATTCCCTTGCTACCCAGGACTATCATCAATATGGTATCTTTACTCTTGCACTGCCTATTTTGTGAAGCTATGTTTTGAACAAAGGTAAGTGGCAGGCTGAACTTTTACAATCATTCTCAATTGTTTGTACTCGGCAATATGGAATTAGGTAGAAAAGTTAGGCCCAGAAGGCTCTATTTAATAAGACCTTTAAAAGGGCAACTATTCTTGAACTGGTAACAGTGTTTAAATGACATCAGTTTAAATCACAAAAAAAGAAAAGCACAGTAGAAAGCAATAGGTCACCATGAATATTAACAACGTAATAGCTAGTTCATTTTGCTCAAAGTTTTAAGTAAAAACATTTAGAAATTTGACATCCTTTGAACAAAATAAAATAATGTGATGATATACCCTTGATCTTTTGCTTGGTGTATATGCTTTAGAATTACTAAATATGAGCCTGACGTCTTTACATAACTCCATTGGTGACTCATAATTCCCAGCCTCTAAAGTTTCTCTGACAGTAGCAAAGTCCATTGGCGTGTCAATGATGTCTCTGTAGTCCTAAGGGAGAAGGAAGTAATATTATTACTTCTATAAAAGTATCATTTTACAGCACAGGAAATCATAGGATTTCTGTAAGTCACAGAAGTACTAATCATCATTTGTAAAAAAACAAAACAGTAAAACCTTAAAAACTTCAGCCCACCTATAAATCTAATAAATGACAACTCCTTGAAACACTATAAAGTCATAAAATGAAGAAATACAATCAAAGTGGGGCTAGATAGATAGCTCAGTGGATAAGAGCACTTGCTGCTCTTGCAGAGGATCAGGGCTCAGTTTCCAGCACCCACATGGTGGCTCACGACCACCCTTTGAATTCAGGGAATCCAATACTGTCTTTTGAATTCTGCAAGCATCAGGCAAACACATGTATATATACATGCAGGCAAAATACTAACTCATAAAACAAAAATAAATCTACAACTCTCCAAAACAATTCATCTAGACAGAGGCTGCAGTTAGAGTAACTTCTAGTTTCATAATTTACCAAATTAGGCATTTTTGAAAAACAATAATAATAAATATAAATAAATGTCAAAAAGCGTGCACTCTTGCATAAGGGAAAATAGAACTGTTGAAGTCACCTGGATACAAAATAAGGCAACAAGATGGAACAAGACAGAGAGGTGAAAGAAGAGCTAATTATCAGGGCAGTGTGCGACTGGTAGTGCAGCAGTACAGAGTCTCCTGCACCTTTTCAATAGCAGGGGTTTCGGCTTTTCATTATTTTACTCTTGCCTCCTTTTGCTTTTACTCTTTTCTATACTGGGAAGTGAACATACATTATTGGTTTCAAGACTTCTGAACACTACAGTCTACAATTAGTTTTAAACTTCCCTACAGTACTGTTTAAGTGTATCCCACAAATTCTGATATTCCATTTGTATTCATTTTCATTAAGGTCATTTTTTAATTACCACAGACTTGTTTGACCCACTGACTACGCACAAATACACTGCTCAGTCCAATCTGGTAATGCATCTGATTCGTCAGCACTGCAAGGCAGAGGCAGAAGGACTATGAATTCCAGGCCAGTGGGATTTACTTCCTTGGAGATTTTCCTGTTACTGATTTCTACTCGGATTCCATTATGGTTAATGATGTCAATGAATATTAGTTTTTACCGTTTCTTCCACTTACTAATTTTTGTCTTTGACTTTCCCCCCAATTTTTCCATGTTGTATAAATCTTCCTCAGTTGGTTTAGAGTGTCTCAATTCTTTCCTAACCATGGCCCAAGACCTCATTTGTTTCTGCATAGGGTTAATATTTTTATCTCTAGAATAAAAACATTAAGCCTCAAAACACAAACAACCAATAGCAACAAGTGACTTGCAAATCACATTTTAAAACTACAACGAATTTGCAGAAAACAAAGGGAAGCCTAGCTTTTGAAAATAAGAGCACTGTATATGGCACAAACTCAATCCTGGAATTCTGAGAAGATAAGTTTCTCATTATCCCAATTTATTCCGCTGTTAAACATTTCTCTTGCACATTTAAGGAGTCTGTCTATGGCTTTCAAAATTAAAAACAATTATTTTATGGTATCAACACTCGTCTATACTGATCATTTCAAATTAAAATGCCTCTATAAAAACAAATAATGAAGTTAAATGAAACATTATCCAAGTTCTGATGCCATATAAAACTATAAAACCCCACATTCCTAACTAAAAGAATTTAAAAAAAGATCATCTCAACTGGGACTGAGATTTCCATGTCAGAGCAATTATGAATAGCTGAATCACATAATCCCAACACTTTCAACTATGAATTCCCTAAAGTTCACACACTGGCATTATCTAAATACATACAATAATATCTGATGTTTGCATGTAGTGTTTCATCATCACAAAACTATATATTTTCACTTCATGAGAAAAATAGGTATCATTATTTTAGTTTTCTAAATAACAGCACTGTAAGTTCTTAGAATTAGTATGTAGAAATAAAGAATTTGTGCTGGCAAAGTGTTTTGTTTTTTGACAACATGACACAATTAAGGAAGTGCTTCCATCAAACTGATGTTTACTCAGATATGCAGAGGACATTTACTTGATTAATTAATGATGGGAAATGGCTCACCCTTCTGGTGCTAACCCTGTGCAGATGATCCTGTGTTGTATAAGAAAGGTAGCTGAACAGAGCAGTGAGCAGCATTCCTCCATAGTTTTTGCTTCAGTTCCTGTCCTTGCTTCCCTTAATGATAAACTCTAATCTTTAAGTCAAATAATTCCTTTCCTCCCTAAGGTGCTTTTGGCCATGGTGTTTATCATGGTGGCAATAGAAAGCAAACTAGCACAGTTAATAAACATTCTATTCATATGGGAAAACGATGTGACTTATTCTAAGTTAAGAGAATAGCTAGACACATAAGCCAGTTTTTTAAAGGCAAATTTTAGGTTTCTTTCCATTTTACCACACTTTACAATTTAAGAGTTCCTGATAACTGAATAGGTAATGAGAACATGTATGAACTCATGAGGAAATGAAGTAGAGTAATAATATAGCTGAATAACAAACAGCAGTGTAAAAGAAATACTTACTGGATATTCAAGAAGATCTACTGGTTGTCGAAAAGGCTCTGAATCTTCACATTGAAAAATGAGATTTAACAATTCTTGACATTGTTTCTTCCATGCTTGAATATCGTAAGACTGAGCTCTGTTTCGTAGCCTTCTTCTAGGTTGATGATCCTGAAATAAAAATGTAAGTACTGTTGTAATTTAAAAAAGCGGCTTGAGAAAGAGTTCAAGTGGAGGTTTTTTAAATTAAGGGAAAAGATTTATAAAAAGGGGAAAGGGGAAGACTACCCTCAGGAGGCAAGAGGAAAGAGGGTGGTGGAGGGGAGTGGGGGACATGGAGAGAGGGAGGGAGAGCGAGGAGAGAGGAAGAGAGAGAGAGAGAACGATGGGAGGTGGGCAGGGCCCTTTTAAAAGAGAACATAGTGAACAGGCACAGGTAGGGTGGGGTGCTCTTAGTGGCAGCAGCTGAAGGTGCCAGAACTCCAAACGCAGGCCAGTGCAAATGCCTAAATACTAAGCACATTATTAACAACTATTTGCAATGTAATTTTGCTTGTTTTATTTTGGGGAGGTGAGTGCACATGCATGTGATGCCTATGTAACACATCTGCTGTCTTTCTTCAGGAGTCATTAACTTTGTTTTCATTTTAAAAGTATTTATTATATGTATGTTTTGTTTTTATGAGATAAGTGTTTCTCTATGTAGCTCTGGTTCCCTCAAACTCATAGAGGTCTGCCTGCCTCTGTCTCTAGTGCTGAGATTAAAGGTGAGTCACCATGCTCCTTGACAGAGATTATTTTTACTTATGTGCACTTATATGTACCTGACCACAAAGGCTACAGGCATTATTACACACCATCACCCCGGGAGAAAGAGTGATTGCTAACTGCCCAACATATACCTGGAAAGCAACCTGTATCCTCTTTCAACCACTGAAAACCTTGTATGTTCAGGGTGTCTCACAGAGACATTGGGCTCACTGGCTAGCAAGCCCAAAGGAACCTGTCTTCATCTCCCCAACACTGGGATTGCAACTGACCTACACTACATTTGGCCTTTTTTGTTTTTGTTTGTTTTTCGAGACAGGTTTCTCTGTATTCTGAAACCAACTTTGTAGACCAGGCTGGCCTCAAATTCACTGAGATCCGCCTGCCTCTGCCTCACAAGTTAAAGGCATGCGCCACCACCACCCAGCTACATCTGGCTTTTTATGTGGGTGCTTCGGAATAAACTGAAGTCCTGATGCCTACAAAGCAAGTAGTCTACTCACTAAGATACCAGCCCCAATTCGTGCTTTTAATACAATCTTAGGTAATTAGGCACAAACTGAGCATCCCTGACCTGAAAAGGTTGGCATGAGAAGTGGTTATATTTGAAACCTTTTTGTCTCACAGTATTTGTATAGACTTTAGTGGCTAAGGAATTTTTTTTTTTTTTTTTTTGAGGCGGGGGTTGGTTTTTCAAGACAGGGTTTCTCTGTGGCTTTGGAGGCTGTCCTGGAAGGAGCTCTTGTAAACCAGGCTGGTCTCGAACTCACAGAGATCTGCCTATCTCTGCCTCCTGAGTGCTGGGATCAAAGGTGTGCACTACCACCGGCCAGCTACGGCTGAGGAATATTAACCAAAAATTTGAAAACTAAAGTAAGAACCTTTTTGAGTGTCAGTACTTAAAACCTATAGAGTTTTTGAGTATTCTGATCAGATTTTCAGATTAGGATGTTCATCCTATATAAAATATTAATTCTAATAAAATACTAACTTTTCTAAGAAACATATTTATTTTATAATTAAGTTTTTGAACACCTAAATTACTTTTAATATTACTAAGGATAAAAGAATAAGCATTTAATACACTTTCATACAACAAACTACTTTTGTAAAAGCAAATACTATCAAAGTCAAAATGCTGTTACCTTCCTTTTTCGTGTAGAAGTTCCAGGTACATCAGCATCTTTCTCTTCTTCCTTTGAGGCAATAAAACATCCAATTCATGAAATATCCTAGATCTCATCATTTGGTAGTTATTTCTTTCATACCTTAGAAAGTTCATAATGCATATCCTATGGTACATCACGGAGTCAGTAAAGTCTCTCCCCATTAAAAATCGGTTTTCAATCCCAAGTAAATTCTTTTTTTTTCCCAAGTAAATTCTAAATATGATAGCAACAGTTAACAATATAGTCCTGAAAAAAGGCAATTTTCTAACAACTTGAAGCTGAAAACTATTACATGTAAATATTATTTAATATACTATAATATGTAGTATTAGTTATTGTAGCAATGACAGTCAAATAAGTTACATACCTCAGAGTCAGACAAAACTTTCTTCTTCATTGAGTTGTAAAGTGGAATTATGTTATAACAAGTCTGATCCCTAAATAATAAAAGAAAATGTTGATGTATAATTAGAGATTCGTGATTTTTCTTTAAGAATTTGTTCCTAAAACCAGATTTTAAGATAAAAACTTTAAGCCAAACAACTTTTCCATCTGTTGACTACGACTCCTCTTCTATGTGTGGGCTCTTGGAGCTGAACTCAGATTGCCAGGGGAGGCTGCTAAGCCACCCCTCTGACCTCAACAACTCACTCTTAGTAATTTTTATCATCTCATGTAGTTCTATTGCTTATCTCTGGGATGACTTTCCTCTGACCTAACTCCTATATTCATCAGCATCTACTTTGTTTGTGACCTTAACATTCCTCTGCTACATACTGTACGTTTCTTTTACCTTATTATTTTTCATAATTCTTATTGTTCATTATCCTTATAACAAATTTTATCTACCTCAAAAAACTCTACTATGAAAGTAAAGTATGATTACTTTATCACCAAGGACTTATTACATCACTTGAATGTATTTATTACTTAAAAAATTTGCTGAATAGTCAACTGAAAAAGTATAATAACCAATATTTCAAAACCTTTAGGTCTTAGAAGCTATTACCAACAAATTTAGAGATATGTCATATAAATTCATTTTTTTTTTTTGTTTTTTTGTTTTTTTTTTTTGTTTTTCAGCACAGGGCTTCTGTGTAGCCTGTCCTGGAACTCACTATGCATACTAGACTGGCCTCAAACTCACAGAGATCTGCCTGGCTCTGCTTCCTGACTGCTGGGGTTACAGACTATGCCACCACTGGCAATGTAATATAAATTCTTTAAATCTATATTAATCTGCACTTCAAGATGATGGCATAACTTTATTTTGTTGGTGGTATTGGTGACTAAACCTAGGATCTATCAAAAACTAGTATAGTGCTTAATCACTAAGCTACAACTCCAGCAACCAATAACTACTTTAAAGCAATGTGTTTTCATAAACTAGTCCAAAATTTTTTCTCTTTCATTTAAAAATGAATTTATTATATAATTCTACAGACTGTCTGAAAGCGGTATCACAGATAAGAGTTCACTAGGTAATCAATCAATGCATTTTACCAACTTCATTCAAGAAAGGTAAAGCATAGTAATAAAAGTCTCCAAACCACAGACAACAGAGAAATGTCACAGGATGCTGTTGAAACAGGATAAATCAAATTACTTTATAATTATTGTTACTCATAGTAATTTGTTATCAATCTATATAGAAATTATCTGTAACTCAGCAAAAAGCCACTGATTTCAAAAAAAGGGATGAATTCTAAGGTAATGTGAAGAAAGATTTGCTTTAAACAGTGGCTCTCAACCTTCCTAATTCTTTAATACAGTTCCTTATGTGATGGTGACCTGGCCCCCCAACCATAAAATTATTTCATTGCTACTTCATAATTGTAATTTTGCTACTGTTATGAATCATAATCAAATATCTGATATGCAGGACATCTAATATCAACCACCACTGGCTTAAAATCTGAATTTTTCCTCTAATTTAAAATACAGCATTACCCCTTTTTAAACAGAAAAATAAAAACTCTCCAACATAAATACTGGTATTAATATTCAACTCGAACAGTCTTTTATACCAAATTTTGTTTATGCCTTTGGCTCCAATTTATGATTCAATTCATTCTAAGGATACATAACAGGTAAGGGAAGAAGTGCTTCTGCTTCAACTGGTACCCTTACTAAGGTATGGAACTGATGAATAGAATACAAACTTTGTGAAAGAACTTTTTTTTTTAGCTATTGGGATGTCTTCTGGAGGTGGCTATGGAGTTAACCCCTTTAATCTCAGCCTTTTGAAGCAAAGGCAGGCAAATCTCTGAGTTCCAGGCCATAAATTGAGAGGAAGACCCAAAACAATAAATAAGAATATCTTAATGCTGCCTAGGCCATTCCCAACCCTGCCTCAGTTTCCCAAATAGCTGGGATGACTTCAATCCTGGAAATTCAAATTTAGTACCTTGATGTAACGCATAATATTTTGTTAATAAACTTGACAGAGTAAATATGTATGATGTTAAAATGAAAAGTTCTCAAATCAAATGGCAGACATTTTTAAAATATGAAATTTGGCTAAGGCAAATTTCCTCAATTATAAACATCAGGTAATAATGCCTACCACCTGTAAGACTACACATGGTTTAAAAGACACAATGAAGGAAAAAAAAACATTCCATGTTTAATAAATCTTTACTATGATTTTCAATAGCAAGTAGTTGGAGTGGGAGCTGGAGAGACAGTTTGGTAATTGACAGCACTTGTTGATCTTGTAGAAAACCCAGGTTTGGTTCTCAATGCTCACATGGCGGCTAAAAACACTTCCAGTTCCAGAAGATTTGACACCCTCTTTTGGCTTCTGTGACCACTGCATGCATGTAATGTATACACTCTCATGAAGGTAAAGGCATCTATGAATATATATGTAATATAATTGTTTGGAGGTGATTTTATTTTTTTCTTTCTTTTTCTGAGAAAGGGCCTCACTATTATGTAGCGCTCTAGCTGGCCTGGAACTCTACAGGTAGACCATGCTGGCCTCAAACTCAACAAGATTCACTCTTTCTGCCTCCCTGGTGCTGGGATGAAAGGCATGCTTACTATTTTAAAAGAGGAACTGTGCTTATGTGACAACATCACCTATGCAAAAGATGACTGCAGTTTACATTTTATTACTTCACACTTAAGTTATTTTAATTTTAAAATCACATCATTAAGTATTACAACTATTATACTGAATAAAGTATAACTCACTTTATAAAATGCAGAAGAAGATCTGTAACAAATTTTGCAGATTTCACAATTGGGCTTCCTGGCTCATTAAATGTTCGTGTATTATGTTCTATATATCGAACTTCCCACATCAGGGATGAAACGCGCCTTAAAAAAAATAAATGCAGAAACTTTTATCTTATATTAATAAATATGTGTGCATAATTTAAAATTAAGACATGTCATTTTAATTTCATTCCTACAACATTACTCACATCTTAAAAATCAATCTCTAAAATAATGTTTTAAGAATCAAACTCAACTATAGGAGAAAAATTTATTGTACAGAAAATGTCTGGAATCAGACATACCAAACTATTAATAATGCTGCTAAAGGGGGATATCCACAGGAAAAGTGGCAGAAGAGGAACAAGTTAATTGTTTTTAGTTTTACTCATTTCTGAAATATGTGGTATCACTCCTGCCCTCCTCATTTCCATACAGAAAAGAAACCATTTTAAATTATACTAGTAGCATAATTAACTAACGTGAAGATGAAAGGTAATCAACAGAATGTTAATAAAACATAAAAAGATGATGAGAATCTGAAAGAAATTTAACTAGGAATTATTTCTGAACACTTGGCACAATGCTAAAAGAAGTCCGAGGCTTCATAATTTTATTTCTCAAGTAAAGGAAAACCTAAAGACACTTTCTGAGAACACAAGGCAATACAAAACAGTTAATCTTACTGTGAACAGATGAATTACACAGAATTAAAAACATGCCGCTGTAGCTATAAATACTTACATAGGAACTTCCATAAATTTAAAAACATAAAATAAGGTATTAAATTACTAGCAGACAAAACTTAAAGTATTTAACCAAGGAATGAATGGCATCAGAAGAAAATCATAAAACTGTAAAAAGATACAAAACAATACAAAACCCTTTAAGCAGTGTAATAGGATTTAAGAATTGTATTAAACAAGTATATGACTCAGATTTTTAAATTCATTAGCAGGCTGGAAAACGAATTTCTATTTACACATGCACAAGTTCCTTCTAATTATAAACTGGTTATAAGGACAGATTAACACCGAAGAAGCCTTTTTTGTTGTTGTTGCTGCTGTTTGGTTTTCCAGACAGGGTTTTTCTGTATTGCTTTGGAGCCTATCCTGGAACTAGCTCTGTAGACCAGACTGGCCTCAAACTCACAGAGATCCGCCAGCCTCTCCCGCCGCCCGAGTGCTGGGATTAAAGGTGTGCACCGACAATGCCCAGTGTCAAAGAAGCCTTTCTAAGACATGCTATATCTTCAAAATAAAGTACACTCTAGCAATCAGCATGTTTTAGCAATGTGTCTATAAGAAAGTTTACTAACAATAGTTGGAAATGCTAACTCCATTTGCAAACTGTAATCCAACAACTAGTGAATCTCCCTCACATCCTCCCATGTTTTTTGCTCTATCCTGTTAATATTCTCCATTTATTCTGCTCAACTTCTGTACCTCATAGTGTAAGCCTTGAAGATAGGCTGGCAAAGAACGTATCTTAGGGAAATTTGTTCATGTCTTTGTCTACGAAGAATTACCAATAATTATACAAAAGCAAGTAGACCTAACACCAATAAGATCTTTCAAACCAAGTTGAATTCTATTTTACTTTGCTCAGTTGGTTCCCATCCACCAAGAGATACATATGGCAGTAGGAAGAATGACTTTTCTAGCTCACATGTCATTAACATTGCTGCTGAGAAGACCTAAGCTAGTTACTAAGGACAAAGCAGTATTTTCAGTGGTATATCCACGGATATAACTCACAGCAGTAAGAGAACCAAAATTACATTTTATACTGAAATATCAGTATAGGGTATGAATAAAAACTTCTAAAAGCACCGCAAAAATGAAAAACTGATCATAAAAATAAACTTTAATGAAAATATTATGTAAATTATGGTCTACTACGCAATAGACACTAAAGAAAGATAAGATTAAAAACATAATTTCACTCTGAACTATAGATTTAAACATACTTCTGGAAGTATTTTAGGCACCCTTTAACCTCAGCACTTGGGAGGCAGAGGCAGGTCGTTTTGAGGACAGCTTGATTTACATGGCAAGTTCCAGGACAAAGGCTACATTAGTAAGACCCTGTCTCAAAAAAAAAAAAAAAACAAAACTAAAGGATTCACTGGCAACTAAAAACTATTATCCTTAAGAAGCAAATTAACCATAATAACTTAATTAAAAACTACAAAAATTTTGTGAATCTTTTCTAATTGTACTTTCATAGGTATTCAAAAGTTCAATAAACAAGTAAAAAGATTTACAGAATATATATTAAATATTCTAGTATATTACAAGGAGAAATGAAATATTTGGCTTGATTATAAATCAAATATGCATTCATAATCTCATAGGCAAGCAGCATCAACTTGAGGAAACTCTCAAGAAATGCAGAGTATAAGCACCTACTCAAAAGTTAATGATTTTGTATTTCATATTTTAATGTGACCCATATGTGATTCATTTCATTCTATGCATACACAAAATTGAAAATACTGCCATAAACTGTTAGTAGATAAATGACGGGAGTTCTTTTGTTATCAGAAATATCTAATGGCTCTAACCTGTAAAATCTGTTTTCCAGTCTTTGTTTAATTGTACTTAGATCCGTTGGATATGCCACCACAGTGCAATACATGGGATAAGCTTGCAGATCCACAGGGGCCACAAATGCTGAAGCAATATCTAAAACAAATAAGGTTATAAATCTATTTTTTGTGTTTGACAATCAATCATCAGAACATTGGGATAAAGTAAAAACAGATAAATATATCATCAACTTACCAATACAAAGAAAATAGAGCAAAAATGAGAATACTGTAGATCACTTTATTTTTTAAACTATGTTAATCCTAAAATATTGATGAAACTATTTAAGATGATATTTATAAAATGACTTTTTTAAAGTTTCTATTTTATGAGCTGGGTATACAGCTCAGTGGCACAGCATTCGACTACCATATGCAAGAAAACAAAACTTCTACATTTGAATATACAAACATGCCCAGTGTCTTCAGTTTTTAATCTTAATTTCTCCCCCTACGTCCTTTGAAGCTGATTTTCAACTACTACTATAGTTTGCTTAACTTACAATAATCTCCTTGAAAGCCCAGAGTTCAAAAGCAAGTTTTATGTAACTGTTTACTTTGGTTTTCACAGATCTGTCAAGCCAGGAAAAAACAAGCATAGACAATCCAAATAATTAAATTCAAGTTTTGAATACCTTTCTCCTTTAGTTCACATACTGTCAGTTGAATGTATGAAGGCTTTACAAACTGGTTTGTGAAAGACCCAAGTTTTACAAATACCTGCGGCATTTATGGCAGACTCATGAAATTTAGTTACAAAAAGTTCATATAACTTAAATGGATTTTCTATACTGAAGCACTGTTATTATTTACCTAAGGTCATCAGCTGATTTATTCCTCCAACAATTCTTTCACATTCTTCATCCCTGGGATTGGCTCCCCACTCTCCATCAAGAGGCTTATAGATTAGTGACCTACATTCAACATCAGTTAAAGGAACACTAGTACCCAATTCTTCTGGAAATACAGCTGAAATGCAGATAGAAAAACACATCAATGAAAATCTTTAGTAATTACTGGTGAGTTTTCCTTTAGAAATAATTGATATTACAAACAAAGATCACTATTTTCATAATAAAACAATTTTAAATGCAATTTTTTGTTTTTGTTTTTTGTTTTGTTTTGTTTTTTGTTTTTGTTTTCCAGACAGGGTTTCTCTGTATTGCTTTGGAGCCTGTCCTGGAACTAGCTCTGTAGACCAGGCTGGCCTTGAACTCACAGAGATCTGCCAGCCTCTGCCTCCTGAGTGCTGTGATTAAAGACATGAGCCACCAACGCCTGGCAAAATGTGTTCTTAAAAAGACATCACATTGAAAACTAAATGATTAGTTATACCTAAAAAGTATACGATAGTCAAGTTATACCTAGAAGAGAAAATATTTCTACAAAAGTAAATTTCAATTTTTTTATCCATTTCATAATTCAACTGCCATATTTGCTTTAATAAAGTATATAAATGATATTAATGAAGATTTCAATATTTTAATCAAAACCTCAAAATTCCTAATATAGGAACAAAGAGAATTATGAATTCCAAGAAGAAAGTCTCAGGTCTTTCATCTGTGAAGTGATGGTTTTCACACTTTTAAATCTTTAACATTGTACCTAAGAAAATTTCAAGTAGTCTTGAGGTTGAATCTACAAATGTGTGCGTAAGTACATGAACTCAAATAGAACAAAAAAATCTTCACCAGCACCATCAATGGACATACAAAGACATATTTAAATAGTTAATTAGTATCATTAAAAATAGTCACAGTACTAGAAAGTCAACTGCATTTCTTGATTATCAGGCCAATTCTGAGGTCACATAATCAAATCATTTCAAATTCAAACATGAGATTTAAACTCACAAAGATAGACAAACCAAGAAACCATGACATGGTTGTAAGTTGGTATCTTTACAATTTCTATCTTACAGTATTTTCGCTTGAGCAGCAAAATGAAAATGTTTATTACTGGCACTAAATGACCTAATTGTAGATCAACATTATCAACATGAATATTTTTTTATTTCTAAGGTTTCCCGACTAAGTTTATTTCCTATCTAATATTCACAAAAAACACATGTGGCAAGTTAGAACATCAAGAATTTTTAAAAATTCATATATTTATTCATGTGTATGGGTGCTTTGCATAAATGTATGTCCACAGAGACCACAAGAGAGGATCAGATTTCTTACAAGTAGATTTATACATGGTGGTGAGTTATTTGGAAGCTGGGAACCAAACTCAAGTTCTTGGGAAAAGAGGCCAGTACTTGTAACAGTTGAACCATCTTTTCCAGGTCTCTTGTTTTGCTTTTGTCTTTTTTTTCAGATAGGACTTCACTATGCAGCCCTAACTGGCAAGCAAGTTCCTAAAGAGACGAGTCTGTCTTGAAACTAGAAGGATACCTCTAGTAATTTTTTAGGGTCATTAACTATTCCGAAATACCATTTACAAAGGTTTATTTCTATTATGCTAAAAATGAGATATTTTTCTTTGTTTAAAAAAAAACTTTATCTGATGACATAGGTACATACCATTTAAAAATGCATACTATCACATAAAAGATTCTAATATACAAATAAATCATTTATAATCTACAATACACTGCTTAGACCATTTTTAAACATGTACAAACAATGTCCTACTTTTAAAAACTTGAGAGAAAACCCAATAATCAAGTAAAAATTATAATTACCATGCTTCAGCCACTCTTTTCGAGAATAAGAAAGATGTCATAGTCACTTCCCCAGGGCTAACTCCCCAATCCCAATTTACTAGGCTGCATTTGGTTACTGTTATTAATTGTAACTGCCCCTAGCCACTGATCACTCAACATTTGTTACATAAAATGGAAAGTAATTCTGAAAGGCACTTGTTTAGATGGCAAAGGATGAGTATCAAGAAAGTGATTTTGAGACTTGGGAACTAACCAAGAGCACATACAAAGTAGCAAGACAAAATCCTGCTGATACTACTTCCACTCAAAAGCCTCACTTCTTAATGACTATCTCCTGCTGTTACAAAAATGTCTTTGGGCCAGGAGTGGTGGTGTACACCTTTAATCCCAGCACTTGGGAGGAAGAGGCAGGCAGATCTCTGTGTGTTCAAGGACAACCTACAGAGTGAGTTCCAAGACAACCAGAACGATTAGTGAAACTCGGTCTTGAAAAATAAAACAAAATAACACCCCCCCCCCCAAAAAAAACCCCACAAAAGTCTTTGTCACAATACACTAATCTCCCCTTTAAGACAGAGGTTCCAGATAGGAAAGGATTGTCAATCAGGTTCACTGGTGAACCTTGTCTAATTTTATAGTTAATAGTAGGCTTATAATACTTTGCTGAATATTTTATATTTGTTAGTCACAATAACCTTAAATGGTATCAAGTTTTGTCTTTTGTGAGTCAAGTTCTTACCATGCAGCCCTAGCTAGGTTTGAACACATGTGGTAATCTTCCTACCTTTGCCTCTTGAATTTGAGGATTCACCTCCAGCACTAAACCAGGTTTTCTTATATAAAAAAAACAAAAACCTCTAGGGCTGAAGGGATGGCTCAGAGGGCACAGCTGCCTCCCATAAAACCTAACAGTCCAAGTACAAACCTCGGCACACAAGGCAGAGAGAACCAACTCCAGCAAGTTATCCTCCAAATTCCATAAATCTATTTTTACATATCACACACACACACACACCCACCCACACACCCACCCACCCACCCCTACCTAATTCTAATTCCACAAGGTATAAATAACAACCCTAACATACACTTACCATTATTAGGTATTAGTTCCATATCCCAAGGACTCATCTTTTCTGTATCTCCATTGTCCCAGCTTTAAGAAAGCAAAATTATTCTATTAAAAAAAATCTGAAAATTAAAATCACATTAAACAAATAATTGTTTCATTACTAAAAAAGATATTTTTACTCCTTTACTGATGATAGATAAGAAAAATTTAAGAACTTGGCCTAATTGGAAATATAACCAGTGTTTTCTTACCAAACATTGTAACACTGAAACAAACTATCAGGGTACTCAGGTTGAAGAGGCTCTTGACTTTCAATTGTTCCAAACCACCAGGCATCATCTATTACTGATCTGAAGCGGTCACCTGAAAAAGATGAAAGCCATATGTCTCATCACACTGGCATGTACTGTTGCTTTAGTTAACTACCTTTTCCTAAAGTTCTTAAACTGGATGATTATACAAGACAGAAGATCCATATATTCCAGCAATAAGTGATATGTGTACTATGGGTTACTTCTGATTAAAAATATTTAATTTTAAATTTTTTACTTCCTATTATGTCCTCCAAATAACAATGAAGAATTCGGATTAAAAGCAAAATCATAAAAAATTCAGCTTGTCCACCTCCACCTCTATCATCCTTACACTGCACACATTCACTCTCTCGTTCCTTTCTAAAAGGCAACAAATAAAAAAGAAAAGCGAAAATTGTCAATCTTTGTAGAAAAAGAAAGCATGTCTTTTGTCTACTTCCTTATTCAATTGCTATGGTTATACTACTAAAATTGCTTGTAATAAATAGTTTAAATAAGCTACAAGGGTCACGTTTTTTAATGTCAATCTTTTCGGCTTCCTGTTGTCATACAAGAACTGCAAGGTACTTTTTTCCTTTGTGTAGTGTTTTTTTCTTTTGTGGCTTACATAGCATAGTTTTCTCCTGAAATAACAGGCAAGTCTAGAAGATATGGGTTCAAATAAAAATATTCACATAACTGAATACATTGTTTTTTAACTATCTTCATGTACTCAATAATTATATTATCTATATTGTAACAGTGTAAATAGTGTCTTCTGCTAAAGTACTTTTCATTTTAACACACAATTAAGGAATAATCAATTAAATTGCCAACTAATTGGTCAGTTATTATTTTTAAGACAGGAATTTTCTCATGTTTAAAAAATTTACTTAAAACATTTATGTAGACATGCATAAAATTAAATAGTTAAAATAAGAAAAACAAGGTAATGGATCTTTTAAACTAGAATTCTTTTAGAATTATAATTAAAAGAGAATACTCTGCAAACTGTTATAAACTATACAATTTTGACTGGGAGAGTGGATCCAAATTTAGATTTAGGCATGATGGACTATTAAGTCTGTCATTGTTCCTCAAATGTGTATTAGGGATAGTGAACTAAGAGTTTTCTTTAAATCTACAAGAACTGTGGTGGTATTTGGTTTATGATCCAACAAATAAAGCTTGCCTGAAGATCAGCGTACAAAGATAGTTACACTAGTTAGCCAGAGGCCAGGCAGTGGTGGTACACACCTTTAATCCTAGCACTCAGGAGACAAAGGCAAACAGATCTGTTAATTCAAGACACCCTGAGCTACAAAAAATTGATCCAGTCTAAAAGAGCTCACACAAAGGTGATCTTAACACTAGGGAGGAATATAAGGTGGGAGGAGAGAAGAGCTCAGTGCAGTCTGGAGATGCAGTCTGGGGTCAGAATCACCCTTTCAGTCTGAGCATTGGTAGAGGTAAGAACTCTCTAGTTGCTGGCCACTTTACTTCTCTGATCTTCAGCGTTGACCCCAATATCTATCTCTAAGTTTTTATTAGTACCAATTAGAATTTGTGCTACAGAGAATATTACAAAAATGTGAACTTAACAGAACAGTTTCTTAGGACTCTCCCAAGCCTGACAAGCTTTGGCACACGAAGAGACAGATACTGTGTATGAATCTAGCCACAATGGACAGTCCTGTTAGATTAATGATGAATATCAGCCAGAGTCAACCATTCCTGGTGATCTTATGTGGTAGAAGACAAATACATGTCATGTCAAAAATAAAATACCAACTAGACACTGAGTATTGAAGATATAATAATCTACAAATATAAAAAACTGAAAGATCTAAATAAAAATGCTCTGATGTCTAATTATTCATTGAAAAATATCTGATTTGCCTCCACATTTGTGACACAGTATTATTTTATTGCAAAACAACCATATGTACAAATGTGTGTTTCATTGATTCTACTATTCAAATGAAATTACAAGTTGTTTCTTGCAATTTATTTTCCTCAATTTTTACTGCTTGAATTTTCATGGTTGTTTTTCTATGCATTTAACGTTTCTAGAACACAAGTTGTATAAAGTACTTTTCAATATAGTTTTCTACAATAGCTTTTTTTTTTTTTCCATGTGAATTTAACTCTTTTCTGAAGATTTCCTTCTTGGTGATAATGTCTTCTGGATTCCTAGAGACTGCTTTACATTTTTCCTGTGCTCGAATTTGGTTTCTTAAGAGGATGGCATAGTTTACTTCTGTTTTATGCTCCTTCCCCTCTTTCAGATAAGCAAACAAAATACTTCCTTTCACTATGGGAATTTAATACATGTGTGTCATTACAATGTTTTTATTCATGCTCCTGTCTGCTTCCTTTGTCCACTTACAACTAAGTTTTACTAGATCAATCAAGGAAAACAATATGCCAGTGTCTTCCAAAAGCACCAGGAAAAAATAAACTGATAAAATTTGTTAAGTCATGCCATTTTCATATCTACTACAATTCCCTCTAAGATAACAAACAGTGGATTTGTTTGAAGTTAAGATCTAGTCAATGAATAACATTCCCATTTGTATAATTTAAAATTGCTTAAAAGCCTGACAATATATTTTACAATCTCAGATAGTTATGAATAAAATCAGTTTAATGTTATTCCAAGTTAAAAATTTTAACTTATGATATTATATCATCTTTTGTCCTCAAACATGATTAATGTGATTGGATAAATATTTAATTCAACACATAAAACAACTAAAAAGAAAAATTCTAAAATAATCTTGTAATGGTTAACAAAATGGAACAGAACATGTTTTGGTTTGAAATTTAAACATCAACTAAAGTATTTTCATTCTCAAAACTTAAACATGGCACTTCACTACTGACATACTTACAATTTACAAAAAAAGGCTTTCCTAACTGTGAAATATAGTAATATCATTTACAAAGGAAAGGGAAAGATATAAAGAACACCTATGGCTTCTAAATCAATTACCCACCTATATTCCACCGCCTATATTTTGCGTCATCAAATTGTTGTCTCAAGACTAGGAAATCTATAACGTCAGGCATATCATGGTATCTATTACAAATAGAAACAAACTGATTAGGTCACACACCTAAATATATCTAAGGTATGTTCAAATTTATTTCAATCTTGAAAAATACTCCAATACTAGCAAAGCATTGCCTTGGTATCAATCCTTACTTCATGGTAAATGATCCACCGGTCAGTTTACCAGTATCAGGATCTAGAAAAGCAAGTTTAAGGCAGCAAAGTGTAGGCAATCCCACTTCATACTTTATACCAACTATCTTCATCAGTTCTTGTTCCTACAATACAGAAAACAAGAATTATCACTGCAGAATAACGTGTGTGGTTGTACAGGTAAGAGGTAGATGCCTGGGGTTTTCCTGATCACGATCCGTTTTATTTACTGACACAGGAGTCTCTTACTGAAGCTGTAACTTGACAGTCTGGCTAAAGTCTGACCAGCTTGCTCAAGTCCCTGTCTGTTTCTCCCAAGTGCTGAACTAAGAGGGTAGAAGAGCACAAAGTCAGGCACCACCCCCCTATATCTCAGGGGTGCAGAGGAGCTCAACTATGGCCTTTATACTTTCATGGAACCATATTCTGCACTTAACTATTTCTCCAGCACCATACAGTTTCTTACAGTCCAAGAGTAAACTAAACAACTTCCTTCATAATTAAAAGTGCATCTTTCACACCAAAAATATGCCAATATCATACCCTTAGTTCCATCTTATGCCATGGCTGTTTTTTAGGATTGATACTATAAATTTTATTTTTCCGGGCCATTTCAACATATGCTTCATGTCCTTGTCGGAAATAATAAACCTAAAATAAAAAATAAATAAATTGAAACTAAAGCTGCAAGATAAGACTAACATCAAAGAGAAAATCTAATTACACAGAAATTCTAATACTCAATTTTTAAATGATATTCCTCAAGTTGTCTAAAAGAATCAAAACTGAAGCACTCTAATTAAAAACTCCTTTGAGCATTTACTCAGAAAATTAAGATGTGCAGATATTTTGTTTTTACTTCATTATTTTACTTTTGGATTCAAAATAAGTTAATCGATGTGACTAAGAAAGTCATTTAGGATAGTGGTGGCTCACACCTTTAATCCCATCATTCTGGAGGCAGAGGCAGAGGCAGAGGCAGGCAGATCTGTGTGAGCATGAGGCCAACCTGGACTACAGAGCTAGTTCTAGGACAGGCTCCAAAGCTACATAGAGAAACCCTGTCTCAAAAAACCAAGGGGGGGAAAAAACTCAAAAGTCATTTACTACCAGTGGTTTTAAGTACATGGTCACACATTCTTTTCTTTTTACTTTTAAAAATTATGTGTTTATACATATGTAGGAAACTGTGAAACCGAACATGTGCTTTTGTATGTATCTTGATCCTTAATGTGTAAATCTTAAGTACACTAGCAGCTGTCCTGCAGAACAGGTATTTGAACAGTCTGCCACTACATATTTTTCTCATTATTAAAAATAGAAACACTTGGCTAATATTTTTTTTAAAACAGGGGTTCTCTGTGTAGCTTAGCAGCCTGTCCAAGAACTCGCTTTGTAGACCAGACTGGCCTCGAACTCAAGAGATCTGCCTGTGTCTGCTTCCCAAGTGCTGGCATTAAAGGTGTTCACCACCACTGCCTGGCTAAGTTTCTAGGTTTTGTTTTGTTTTTGTTTTTTTTAAGATTTATGAGTTTTGGCTATATGTATGTACACCACCTGCATGTCTACTAGTGCCTACAGAGGTCAGAAAAGGGCATCAGATTCCCTGGGATTGGAGGTACAGAAGGTTGTGAGCCATTCACTTTTGTAGGTGCCGGGAATTGAACATGGGTTCTCTGAAAGAGCAACAAGTGATTTATTTGCTGAGCCAACTCTCCAGTACAGAAAAGCTTATTTAAAATGTTTTTAAATGATCAACAATATTTTGGATAGTCACTGTCCTAGATATTTTCATACTATTTTTTACTGCTCCTGTTGCTTGAGATTCACTGGAAGTAGTGTTAAGACATTGATTTAAAATTCAGGTAGGGGTGATGAAGGTTCAAGCACCAACAACTGAAAAGATGATCTAAATAGAAAATAAACAGTTGTGAACATTCTGAAATTACAGCCATGACACTTTAACACTACAGAATTTGATTTGAAGTAACACTGCAAAGATATAACAATGGTCTAAGCTCTTCAAGTTACTGAGGCAAGAAGGTCATTAAAAAAATAAATCAGAATTTTTCTTTAGACTCATTCTTCGCTTTATTTTCATTTTAAAACTGTTAGTTCCTAATTTATACTAATATTAATTACTGTACTTTGAAAAGTGAAGCCTCTATTTTAAGTATTTTTATAGTTAGTCTGTTGAATGCTATGTATCACCTCTTTAATTTTTATAAAAAATAAGGAGATATTGTCCTGAGACATTCTGATGGTCTTAAATTAATTTCAAATTCTTAACTCAGTCTAAAGGGGTTTCTTATGTTAATATTATATATAGACTTTAAGGAAAGATAAGTTATCAACATGAATAAATGAATTTTTATATAAAATTAAATGGAAACAAGTACTAAATCTTTTTCTTTTAACATGCTATACATTTAATTTTAAATTAAGAAAAACAGATGCATTTTTATTTAGAAATAGGAAAGAATGTGGATGGAAGAAATCTCAAAAGGCCTCACCTATAGATGAAGAGCTATAGGCAATTAATGGCATCAGTATCCTAAAGGGACAAGCCCCCTTGGCAGTAGTCAGGTCCTAAACAAATATACATATTCAACACTAAATGGATCCAGTAGGCTGCATTTTCATATGGATTGTAAAATAAAATAAAAATGAAGAAAAGGTCATGAATTTGAGGAGGTTAAGACACAGGAGTTGGGGCAGGAGCAGAAATGATGTAAATATAGTACTGATATGAATATCTCAAAAACTTAAAAATAACTATGGTAGGAGAAATCTTAAAAATATAAAAGAGCAATTAAATCCTTTTGTTAAAATATGCCAGTTTCAAACATGGCAACAAATTTTCTGTTCTTTTATAATACTTAAATTATTACATATTTATAGGAGTCCTGATGAATATTATTCCTAGATCTTTGGTTGTATTTTTCCAATACTGGAATGAGATACTTTTTTTTAAGGAACCTACTGTAATCTTCTAGAAGTATGTTTCAGGAGCTATAAAAGATACCGAGATTACTACTTGAAAAACGTAAATAACTTTGAAATTTTCAAAGTTAGAAGTACCTCATCACCCATCTGTGGCACAAATGGACATCTTCTGGGAAGTGTATCTGTAATCCACGTTGAAGGCAACCATTCTTCTAACGTAAGACCATTTTCAGTTAGCTCTCCTACTGCCAATCTCTGAGAAAAGTTTGGAACAGCATTAGTAGCATCTTCAAATAGCTCTGTACACCTAGAAAGGAAATGCTATTGTGCCACCTGAACTTGAAGATTATCTAAAAAACAAATTTATTATCTTGTTCTGTAAGATCTACTGATAAAGATGGGAGCAAAAGTCCAGTCAAAAGGAACAATCCATATTACCTTATTCTCACTAAAGTATATCCCATAAAAAGATTCTGCTACAATATTCAGACACAGCCAAACAACAGGATTAAAATATGCCAGACAGAAGAGTCAAATACAACACTGGCTCAGACTGCATTTACCCTCATTCCTAAGGCAAAAACTGAGGACAAATGTTAAAGCTTTCTCACAAAACAGAAGGGCGTAAGAACCATTGCTTCCTTGTGAACTCAAACTATAACAATTTGTAATTATAGAAGTGAAATAAATATGAATTCAACCAACAGAAATCAAATAAACAGGTAACACAAATATATTCTTATAATTTTCAAAGCCTCTTTGGTAATAAAGAGCCAGAGCACACTAGTATTTAATTTAATGAGTAACATATTTACTTTAAAAGGGGGGGGGATGGGGGGATTGGTGGGGGAAGCTATCTTTCTACATAGCCTTGGTTATCTTAGAATTTTCTATGCATAGCTGGCCCCAAAAATTAGCCTGCCTGTTCAAGTACTGGGATTAAAGACAAGTTAACTACACCTAGCTAAGAATAGGAAAATACATATTTAAAAATTTTCTATTTACCCAAACATGTCCATTAATTAGAGTATTCTTTAAATTTTAAAAATTTGTTCTCTAACTCTATCTCT